CAGCGCATTGTTGAAGGACCGGGCCGAGGACAGCGCTGAACTGACCTTCTTCTTTAATATCTTGAGTCCTGCAACCGCAAGACAGTTGGAGGCGCTGCATATTTTAGAAGCGGCCAACAAGCAGAAGGAGATGGGAAGCCAGAACCTGGCCCAATTCTTTATTCCACTCCTTGAGCACTTCATATTTGGTCGCGCAGATGGAGTTGATGATCATGGACTTGGCGCTCAAGCAATTATCACAATTGGTAATCTCGCAAGCTCTCTGCACTGGAAACACTACCGCACCACTCTTCAAAGATACATCGGCTATGTTGAAGCCAAGCCCGAACAACAGAAGTTAACAATTCGACTTTTGAGCAAGGTCGCTGATGCACTTGTCGACGCAGCTGAAAATCAGCCGCAGGAGCGCATGGAGATTGACGAGGTTGATGCATCGTCATCAGCCACTACCAGACTCCCACTCACTATTCCGGCGGCAGAGAAATTGAGCACCGAGGTTACTAATACCTTCCTGCCCACGCTTGTCAAGCATCTCCACGAAAAAGACGAGTCGGAAGTCAGTTACCGTGTCCCTGTTGGCGTGATCATTGTCAGACTTCTGAAGTTGCTGCCCTCGGACCAAATGGACCAGAAACTGGCCGGTGTCTTGACTGATATAAGTCACATTCTTCGCAGCAAGTCTGTCGAAGCTCGAGACATGGCTCGAGACACATTGGTCAAGATTGCTGTTATCCTCGGCTCCAACTACTTTGGCTTCATCCTGAAAGAGTTACGAGGAGCTCTAACCAGAGGTTACCAGCTCCACGTGCTCTCATACACCATGCACTCCATTCTGGTTGCAATCACCCCCATCTGCTCTCCCGGTGATTTGGACTATTGCCTTAACTTTGTCGTAACGGTCATCATGGATGATATTTTCGGCGTCATCGGCCAAGAGAAGGACGCTGAGGGCTATACCACACAGACCAAGGAGATCAAGAGCAGCAAGAGTCAAGACTCGATGGAGCTTATAGCCAAGAACGCTTCGGTCAGTCGACTCATCGATCTGGTCAAGCCACTGCGCGCGCTTCTGATGCAAAAGGTTGATCTCAAGATGGTTCGTAAGCTTGATACCCTAATGGCGCGTATTACGGCCGGACTTATGCAAAACCCTGCCGCCGAGACCCGCGATACGCTTGTTTTCTGCTATGAGGTCATCCAGGACGTCTACAATTCTCAAAAGCCTGAAGTTGAAGTGAAGCTGGACCCTCGAGTTAAGAAATACCTTGTCCAAAAGGGTGCGAAGAAGAGCGGCGATCGAGGCAAAACCACTAAGCACACATACAAGCTAATCCGCTTCGCGGTGGACATTCTGAGGGCAATACTGAAGAAGCACGATAGCTTGCGAACCCCTACCAATATTTCCGGATTCATTCCCATACTCGGCGATGCTATGGTCGGTGGAGAGGACGAGGTGAAGATCTCAGCGTTCCGACTACTCGCTGTCATTGTCAAAGTACCATTCCTCGACGATGAGGGATCCAAGTTATACAAGGTTGCAGTGAAGGAAGCAACCAAGAGCATCTCCACGGCAGTCTCTACCACAACCGAACTATCTCAAGCAGCACTCAAAATGCTTGCTGTTGTCCTTCGAGAGCGCCGTGATGTTGTCGTGAAGGATGCGGCGGTGGATATGCTCCTTGCCAAGTTGAAGGACGATCTTACTGAACCCCTTTATCGCCATGTCACATTCAACTTTCTCCGGTCGGTTCTGGACCGACATTTGGAAACCGCTGCCGTTTATGACACCCTGGACTATGTTGGCACAGTTATGATCACCAACGATGATAAGGACACTCGTGACCTCGCCCGAGGCGCCTTTTTCCAATTCATTCGTGAATATCCCCAGAAGAAGGCTAGATGGGCTAAACAACTAAACTTCATTGTTGCCAATCTCAAATACGAGCGAGACGGTGGCCGGCTATCTGTCATGGAGATTGTTCACCTACTTCTTACGAAATCATCAGATGATTTCGTGCAAGAGATCTCCTCCACATGTTTCCTTCCGCTATTCTTTGTCCTCGCCAATGACGACAGCGAGAAGTGTCGAGTTGCAGCTGCTGGACTACTAAAGGAGATATTCCGCAAGGCTGACAAGGAGAGGACTCAAACTTTCCTCGGACTTGTGCGGACGTGGCTAGATCAGGACGGGAATGAGGCAGTTCTCAAGCTTGCCTTCCAGGTTTTCGGCTTCTATCTAGAGTCCGACGAGAATGCATCCAAGAACAAGAAGGATTTCAAGCTCGTTCTAGGAAAGATCAGCAGCGTCATTGAGGCGGAGGATATTCGAGAAGTTGACGGAGAACTCTTGGAGGCGGCACTTGAGGTTATCCGGGTCTCATTGTCTGTGTTCCCTGACAAGATTCTGTCAAGCAGTAGCGAGAAGATGTGGTCCAACATCTTGAGATGCCTGTCACATCAATCGACTGCGGTCAAATTGTTATCTATTGGACTGACAAGCTCATACCTGGCTGATTTTGCTCAGCAAGCCAGTGATGTAGCAGTTGGCGAAGCAGTGGTCGGCAGCCATGGTCTTACACTTGATTTGCCCAAGGTCCAAAATCTGGTGAGACTTGGTTTGGGTGTCTTGGCGACCCGAGACATTGACGAGAAGCTCGGGGCGGAAGCTGTCCAGGTCCTTGCTTTCTTGGCTCCTCGCCTCCCTCTTCGACCTGTAACTGAAGGTGAGAGGTCTGACGATGATGTCGAGCAAGAGCAGCAGGATGAGGAGGGAGAGGAGGAGGAAGAGGGGCCAGAGCAGGCTGAAGGGACACAACGAAAGACCGATCTTCAACATCTGTTCTGGAAGATCTCTCACATTATCCGACGAGAGATCCCCCCGAGGGCTGTTGCCATTACACCAAAGGTGGCTGCGATGGAGCTTCTTGAAACGATTTGCCGGAGATCTTCAGCCGATCGCCTGCGACCGTCTTTCAAGACTATCCTCGTACCCCTTCACAACCTTACTGACCCCTCCATTGCACCGCCTTTCTCCAACGATGAACTCTTCAAGACGAAACACGAGGCCCTCAAGACAAGAGCGCAGATCCTCATGGATTCCCTGCAAAAGAAATTTGGTACGGCTGAGTACTCGAAGCAGCTTCTTGCTATCCGAGAGGAGGTGAGGGCCAAGAGAGAACAGCGTTCAAGCAAGAGAAAGATTGAGGCACTGGCACAACCGGAGAAGTATGGAAGAGATAAGAGAAAGAAGTTTGAGAAGAATAAGGAGCGCAAGAAGACTCGATCAAAGGAGCAGAAGGTCATGCGTGAGTCTTTCAAGCGATGGTGAAGATGGGACGACGTTGCATCAACTGGCGTTAGGGATTTGTGTCATTTAGGTAGATTACTTCTCGGCGTCATGATCTGGACATAGTAAAAGTCATTTGTAGAAGAAGGCGAAAGGAAAATTCAGCCATTATCAGTTGCAACTTATTCCACTGTCTGTCCACACGAGGGTTACCCATCAACTGGGATAATTCTGATACATCAGTCCTGTCTGAGCAGGACTCCTATATTTCTTGGGGTCTCCAAACAAAGAATCGGATATCGACCTCTGCGTTAGCCATCAGCACTCCAGTCTCTATCCGACGTCGGGGAACAGTGGTATGGAATCTTTACACGAAATGACGTCTTGTGCTGATGCTACGACCTGTGATCCACGGTATGTTTGAGTTAAACAAGACATTCGGAATTCCGAGCGCCCGGCATCGTTGAAGCCCGTCATAGTTAGGAACTCCGAAGTTCCACTCCAACCCATCTTGAACAAATACAGGAAAGGGGGCTTCACAACGGATTGATTCCGAATTAAATGAATCACAATGCTACACATGTCTCCCTAGATAAAACTCAAAACCCATCAGAACAACATTCCCCCCACGCCGTACAAGTCAATCATGAGGTCGCAAGGAGAAGATGTCTATAAACCTATCACTGCGGGGAAACTGTTACGCCAAAGGATAGAAGCAGGCGATTTCATCCTTGCTCCTGGTGTATACGATGGATTCTCTGCGCGCATTGCGCTCGAGGTTGGATTTGATGTCCTGTACATGGTTAGTCTGCTATGCTTTGCTATTAAAGCTTCGACTGACGAGTATAGACTGGCGCAGGTGTCACGGCATCTGTCCACGGATGTGCTGACCTAGGGATCGTCACACTGAACGACATGCGGCAGAGCGCAGAAACGATTGCCAGTTTGTCACCATTTACGCCTGTCATTGCCGACGCGGACACCGGATACGGCGGACCAATCATGGTGGCACGTACGGTTGAACAATATTCGCGCTCAGGTGTCGGGGCACTACATATCGAAGACCAGGTACAGACCAAGCGATGCGGGCATCTCGCTGGAAAGGTCCTGGTGGACTTGAAAGAGTACCTGGCCCGTATACGGGCTGCCGTGCAAGCACGCCGAAGGATTGGTAGTGATATAGTCATCATTGCACGGACAGACTCCATCCAGAAGCATGGTTATGAAGAAGCACTGGCACGGCTCCGTGCTGCACGCGATGCTGGAGCTGATGCTGCTTTCCCCGAGGGTCTTCGATCGGTTGAGGAAGGGCGGCGGATGATCGCAGATCTCGCACCATGGCCAGTACTGCTGAACATGGTGGAGAATAGTGTCACGCCCAAAATCTCAGCTAAAGAAGCAAAAGACTTGGGGTTCAGCATGATGATTGTGCCTCTGGCTACTCTGGCGCCGGCTTATTCTGCAATCAAGGCTGGTCTGCAGAAGCTGAAAGAAACCGGTTTAGCAGATACGGAGCTTACACCACAGGATCTATTTCGAGTTTGTGGACTCGATGAGTCGATGAAAGTTGATGAGGAGGCCGGAGCTTTCAACTTTGAAGGTGGCGTGGACTGATGCGTCTTGAGATGCCGTGCTACACTCGAGGCTGGCTACCAAACCGTCTTGCATGGAAGACATTGTATGTAGGTAGCTCCTCAAGCATCCCGTGCTTTCTCTACCCAATATAATCAATGTTCAGAGGGAAGTTCCAGTCCATGTAAACCTCGGGGAGGTCGGATAATCCGAAGCTGTGGCCTACAGGCGCAGCTGTCGAGTTCCAAAGCGTGCTGGCATCTGTGGCATCCATCTGAACAGATTCTGGCGCAGCATTGTTCGTGTCGTACGGGCTGCCTTGCCCGTTGTATTCGACTCGCCACCACCAAAGAGAGTCAAAGACCACGCTCATAAACTATAGTAGTTAGGTGAGTAGACCTAGGGAATTTTCTCTTGCACGTACCAAACGACTCCGGATCCTCAGATCCAACCCATTAGCTGTAGTAGTATTCATCGAATCGCTGTTTGACCACAACTGCGAGAGAATGCTCCCATACCTCTCGTCCAGGTCACCATGTTGCATGGAATGCCTCTTGGCGAAGGAAATAGCCTTGAACAAGGACTGTTGAGCATCACGCAGGTCAATGTGCTCTTTCAGCTCGCTCCGGACAATTCGTAGGATGCAAAACGCCGCTAGCAAGGCCATGCGGGTATAGTAGTTTGAAGCATATAAGGCGAAGTCCTGCATGGCATCTAGGCGAGACACGACATCAAGAATTTCTGTGGCTATTGAAAAGGCTGTGATCAGGCCTGGTTTCTTAAGGTCATGGCTCTGTAGGAAGAAGTAGTATGCTGATATTGCGAGACGGGTACAGCACCGGGTAAGGTAGCCTGGTAAGTCAGTCAGTCAACTCAGCTCAATGACACTTTACTTAAAGCCGGCCGATACATACATAAATCATCACGGGGAGGGAGTGGGACGATTTCCACCTGATCACTGAAGATCCTGATTAGCGGTAGCAACGACTTACTGCCCTCGCCCTGCTCGTTTATGATGTCGCCAAATGCTCTAGTGGCATCAAACAAGATGTCATGGCACTTGATGCGGTAATGGAATGAGGCGTCCACAATCTCTTCGAGCCTAGCTTTCCTCTGGTAGGGCTTGGACTCGGAGATAGAAAGATGCGGGAGGCCATCACACAGGCTGGTACTGTTCATCTTGAGCGAATACAATAATTCTGCAGATAAGAAAACTTACGCTTGGAAAACTAAACAACAGTTGAGCCACAGATGAGCTCTCATATCTCTCATTTCTTTGGACAATGAAGTATGCGTCCGTGCAAAGTCTTGCTCGTGGCCGTCGATGAAAAGCCCATTCTGAACAGCGAGAGAATGGGCTGTGCCTGCATACACATGTGAAGGATCTTTCCACATCGTGTCCACTGGCAGAGGCCAGAGACACAGAATCAGGGAGCTTTTTATAATGGGCATGGGGTTCGTAATGTGTAAAAGTGGTTGGAATGTTCCACCTCTGATGTGTTGAACAGCTATCTGAACTTCGCGGCGTGCTCCAAGTGCCTGGCACCTGTGACAACTATTGTCCAAAACAGGAGGGAAGACTCTTTGAAGCACGATTCGTAGTTTACATCGTTTTCACTGAAGATTCCAGGCAGAAGCTTGCTGTAGTGGTTGAAGAACCTGGCAATTTCAGTTGGTGATCCATTTACTGCATGTGGTGGTAGACAACACTTACCGAGCAAAGCAGTCGTCTATCTGTTTTATCGTAATGCCCTCTCGACCCAAGATTTCAGAAAGCGATGAAGATCGGTCTGACTGCGCAACATATGATGGGCCAACTTCAGGAGATGGCTCCGCAGCGGTATAGTTCAAGGCACTGCTCGAAGTTCCTACAACCGTGCGATCGGACCGAGCTGGCGAAGCGTCTACAGTAGCATCTGGGGCTTCCACTATATTATTGCATTCTATATGCATGCGCTTGCAACGTGAACATGGCTGTCCGGGGTGCTGGTACAAGTCACACCTCAGCTATGGGCCATGAATTAGCAAATCTCAAATATCCTGGGCTTCAAGGAAGTCCTTGAACCTTCTGTCGCCTGCAACGAGCACAGGCTTTCATGCGACTTGTCATATGCATGATTGACTCCTCTGGAACCACTGGAGACAGTTCGACAAGGGCCGCCGTATTGCCCGAAAGGTTGATTTGTCGCTTAATGAATTCGGAGTTAGGAGATGGAACAACTTCCCCACGATCAGCAGGCATTGGTTGTGTATGTACGGAATTCCGACTGCGGGTTCTTCGGCAGATCGACGCGGGGTTTGAGTTTCCGGCATATGGTTTATTTTTACTGGCAGCAAACTAACTCAGTACATAGAGCATGAAGAAGCGGAAACTCTATTATTCCCAATCCAACATCCATGTACGTAGCACGAGATGGTCGTACTGGCTGAATATCGTTCTGGGCTTCACCATATCAACCACCTCAAACAACATATCTGAACCCCCTTGGATGATCATCGCCTTCCATTCCTCCACCGCCCTCCTCAATCATCACTCTGTCCAGTCGCTTATTCTCCCAGCAAAGTAAGAGTGAGTAGGTTATGCTAAGTAGCACGACCAACGAGGTAAACCCACAGGAGATCCAGGCACCCTTGTGATAGTACGGCCCCTGGTCTTTGGGGAATATGTTCGTGCCAACCAAGGGCCCAAACTGGCCCAGCGCGCTTGCTCTCAGTGTGGTGTACGCTGGAAACCCATGGAAGAAGAATGCTGATACTGACAAAGATTTGTACACTGAGGAAGACTCCCGCGTATCGAGCAGCAACCCCCTCGCAAACACCGAGAAGGCCGTATCCGACTGTTGATACAATCGCAGCAGCGGCCACAAAGGGTCCACGCAGCTTAGCGCGGTCGCTGGCGAAAGCACATGCTAGAATGGTGAAAAAGCAGAGAGCGTATGGGGGAGCTGATAATCCATTGCTTTCTTGGTGGTTGAATGTGCCCATTTCGGATATGATGGTCGGAATGAAGAGAGGCAGCGAGCCGAAGCACACGTTGCAGGAGAAGTACATCAAGCCTGGCACATAACCTAACACAACAAGTCATCAGCCCGAGCACATTGAGAATAATGGAACTACTCACTCCGCCAGTCCAAGAATGCTGAACGCCATTCTGCCCAGCTGACCCCTCCCGCGCCCTCTGAGTCGACAGTTTGTCCCCGTCCAACACACTGCCAGGCAACTTCTTTCTCTCTGTCGGTGAGGAATTTGGCACTGAGAAGGTCGTCCGGGAGATGAAACCATGCCAGGATGGCAACGATCCATACTGGTAACCCTTCAATGAGGAACAGGCATCGCCATGGTGCAACTGAGCCCCGAATACCCAGAATAGCATATCCCAAAACGCCCCCATATGCGTTTGCAAGGGCAGATCCAGAGAGGAAGATGCCCTGGCGGAAGCCAACTTTGTCTCTGGGGTAGAAGAAGGATAGATATAGAGGCACCCCGGAAAACATGCCTTCGAAACAGCCGAGCAGCACACGCAGGACGACCAGACTGGCGTAATTGGTGACGGCGGCTTGGCATGCTGATATGGTCGAAAACCCTATAGCAGAGAAGAAAACCCATTTATGCGGAGGAAATCGTTTGAAGCCAACGGCCGTCCACTGAGAACAAATATCTGTTTTCTTATCAGCGACACGAACCTGGCCACTCCTGTTGGTTCAGTGACTCACATGCGATATAGAAAGCCGTTCCAAGCCAGTCGTAGCGTTTGCCCTCCAAGTTCACAGAATCTGTCAATCCTGCAAGACGAGCATTGCCCAAGTTACTGCGATCCAAGTTGGAGAATGTGTAGACGAGGAACAAAAGAGGCAGAATATGTAAATCAAGCTTGCGCAGAACAGCCTTCTCCTCAGCTTCTGTGACAAGAGCCATTCTGTCGCCAGTGATGGGACTCCTTTGCTCTGTCACCCTCTCAAAGGTATCCTGCTGAGCCTTTTCTTCAGACATGATAGATCGTTGAGGTCTTGGATGGTATTTGCCTTGATACGTGTGTAATACCAGACTGTTTCTTGACAGAAAAGCTGTGTGACCTACATCAAACTCCCTTACCCATACTCGCGGTTTTAATACTTCCACAGCCTTAAGACAGGGCGGATTATGCGAACCTTCAGTAGCCTCGAGGATCTGCCGGGGGTGGCATGGACGCAGTCTGAGCGTAAGATATGACCCGGAACTCCGATGTTGGCTTCCTCCAATATAGGCGCATGGACATAGGAGATTAGCATCAGTCTATTCAGCCGTAGTGATCTAATCAACTCCCACTGTACGTGGTAATCCCAAAGTTCACTAGGAATGGCTCGGTTCAGAATGCAACTATAGCATTAAAGGTGGTCTCGGGCCTCCTTGTGGCGTCTTTGTTACCTGGGTACGTAGCCAATGCTATTCGGAATTCCGATCGAAACCGGCATGACATTTGCGAAGGACTTAGAAGTAAGACGACTCCGAAACCTTCAACTTGATGAGCCGACCAAACAGGAAAGCCTGAGTAACATCTCGTGTAACACTGCATCTCACCGCAAAGAGGTCGTATATAAGATGGTCAAGTGACCTAGGTTAGTGGTTTCCTTCTATCCCTCCATCATCTACCAGCGACTTCAGCATGAGCGACCCAAAACCAAAGTCATCAAGCCCGACGGTGCAACTGTCACAATGGGTCTCAAAGCTAAAACTAGTTGACATCCCAGACCGAGTGCGTACTCGAGCAAAGTACCTAATTCTCGATGGTCTTGCGTGTGCATTTGTCGGATCTCATCTACCTTGGTCTGAGACGGCAGCGCAGGCTATCCTCAATCTCGAGCCAACACAGGGAGACGCCTCGCTCATTGGGTGGGGAGGACGCAAGGTTACCGCTCTCACTGCCGGGCTTCTAAATGGTACCTTTATCCAGGGTTTCGAGCTGGATGACTGGCACAGCGAGGCTCCCCTACATTCCAACAGCATCATTCTGCCCGCTCTGCTTGCCGCTGCGGAACAAGCCAGTGCACAAGCTTCTCGCCTCACGACCTCCGGGCAAGACTTCCTGCTCGCGACTATCGCGGGCTACGAGACAGGACCACGTGTAGGCCGTTCTCTCTGGGGCACACATGTTCTCTCATCAGGCTGGCATTCTGGAGCAGTCTTCGGACCTGCTGCTGCTGCCGCCAGCGTCAGCAAGCTTTACGGGCTCGAAGCGGACACAATCGAGGATGCTTTTGGGATAGCATGTACCCAGTCGTGTGGGCTCATGTCTGCCCAGTTCGAGAGCGACGTAAAGCGTATGCACCATGGTTTTGCAGCACGGAACGGTCTTTTGGCTGCTGTCTTAGCACAAGGCGGCTATGTTGGTATCAAGCAAGTCTTTGAGCGCGAGTATGGAGGCTTCTTGAAACAATTCAGTTCCGGAAATGGGAAGCAACCCCAATATCGACTGGAGGAGTTGACGAGCGAGCTGGGAATTAGGTGGCAGACGGATGGCATTAGGATCAAGCCGTACGCAGCGATGGCTGGTACTCATCCCAGCATTGACTGTATCCGCCATCTCCAGGAGCAACATCCCGATAGGCTGAAGAGGTTCGATGAGATAAAGAAGATCGACATCCTTCTTGGCGAAGCTGCTTTCCATCACGGAGGCTGGAAAGCCGTCAAGCCTCTCACAGCCACGGGAGCCCAGATGAGCAACTCCTTCACGGCCGCCACACAAATCGTACATGGACAAGTCTTGATGCCACAGTTTACCCCTGAAATGCTCGTTGATCAGGATGTCTGGAGACTTGTCGATCTCACCGAGTGTAAGCTCCATGTTACTGATGGCGACTCAATTGGCTGTCAAGAAGTGAGAATTATGTTTGAAGACGGGACAGTCCTAGATCATGGTGTGCCGAATGCATTCGGCGTGGATTCACCCCTGTCTAATGAAGATATAGTGGCCAAATGGAGGCAACTAACCAAGGGCATTGTTGAGAATGAAGTTGTAGCAAAGATTGAGGAGATAGTGTTGTCTTTGGAGGAGCAGGATGATCTTGTACCACTTTTTGAGCTCATTCGTCAAACATCGAAGAATCCGCTGGCCAGATAGGGCTACATTATGTTCCTTGGATGGTGCTAGTAGCAGATAATATGCAATGGACTGGGCCTAATCAAGGTATTCTTGGTTCAAATACTGCTAGACTCGCACAATTCGCTAATAATGGTCCATTGACCAGCAGTCTGCCCTTTTTTTCACCTCCGCCCTGATGTTCAAGAATATGCAAAGCTCAAGGCAGAGTAGAATGCGCTTGTTTTGATTCCAGATCTATATCTTCAGTCCCGGGCCCTCAGTGGAGAGTATCCCATCAACGCCACCCAATGCTTTTTGCCCGACCTAGGCTTTGTATAATCTCACACTTTTCGCTCTATTTGCTACACCCCTCTAGTCACAGGCCATCATGAGCTCTCGTTCTTTCCAGCTTCAATGTCTGCTGGAAGAGATGCCTCTGGCCAAAACTCAATATCGCCGTCTTCGCCTAAACTTCCCTTCTTAACAAGACGACCCTTTTCCCTCATAAGATCTTCGATAGTGACTTTCCTGTCGCCAAAGATGTTCAAGTGGTCGCTGATGACGTGTCTGTTCCTGCACTCAGGACATGTGATGAGCGTAGAGCCATAATGGTAGCCCTGCTTAGAGACATTGTGGTGGGAGCGATGGCCGCATGGAATGCACGTAAATGATAGCTGGTAGTGCGACGCTTTTATCTCCGGCCTTTCTCCTTCGCTTTTTGGCGTCTCGCCAGTTTGCGCCTGCTCAGGTTTCGGTTTGGCGTATGTTTGGGCAGGTGGTCGTGGAATGTTATGCGCTGCTCGGAAAGACTGGAGGTTTATAGTGGTAGGACGAATGAAAGGAGCGCGCAATGATTGTGAGGAGCGCTGCGGTTGCTTTGGCAGCTGGCGCAGGACTTTGGAGGCGAAGGAAGGTGCCCGTGAGGCCATTGTGCGAAATTCGATTGACTCGGAAGGTGAAGGTCGGGGAAATGTTTTCATGACAGGAAGAAACGTCTTGGTCTTGAGACGTCATTTGTGGGGCTACCCATGTTGGGAAAGATGATGGAAGCTCAGCGAATCATATCGTTCCCATCACTTACACGTCTCTCACTGGCAAGGTACAGGAGAAAGATGCTTTTTATTACCCGTAATTACGGGCAAATAAGTTAACTGGACAGCCCGTCAGCATTTCATTTCAACTTAATCACCAAGGACAACATACTAATCTCTGTGGGAAGAGAGCATACAAACCGTATGAAAAACGCAGGGATTTGTATAATCGTATGCCTGACCACATCCGATGCGATTTGCCTCAGGATCCATGACTACATCTTGGCCATTAGTTAGGATGTGAAGATTATAACGGAGCGCAGTCAACTTACTGTAGTTGTGGTAGTCCTTTTGTTCATGGTTGGGCCTGTCTTTGGCAATAAGCCAGAAATTCGCAGCAGACTCGAAAGTACGCGTATGTGGTTGACCCGTGCATGTGGCCGAGGTCTCTGTGTACATAGCAGTTCTCTGCAAGTTGTCAGGTACCGCGGCACCATAGCCTAATTGGTTGGCATAGTCTTGCCCATAGGAGGCAAGGGTAGAGTCCCAAATCAAAGGACAGTACCCATATCCATAACGTGCTGAATTAAGCTTGAATAGGCCATGCACGATGTCTTCCGATTCTGTGACAGAATATCCGTGACAGATGCCCGTCCAACACAACAAGGCAGCAAATGTTGTGAGTCGCATGGCAGGAAAACTTAGGAGGTATTTCCTAAGTAATGAAAAGACTTAGGTGAGTTTAGTATATCTTAGCAAGCCTTTGGGCCAGTTTATTCCAATACCTAGGAAGTGTGATGGACTAAGCGCGGTTGCAAGGGTCTCTTGAAGGTTGTTTGGGTGCGATGTAGAAGATAAAAGAAGATAGAAAAAGGAAACAAGGAAAAGAAGTGAGAAAAAATGATACTGGTAATGGTACCACTTGGTTAAGGTAGTTAAGTTCTCAGTGCTGATTTAAGCTATCATTAATTGTAAATTAGATCTCATATTGCAATATCGAGGTTAGTGTTATAAAAACCTAAAACATAACTCATTTGCCTACTATTACAGGTTGTAAGAAACACCAATATATCCCCAAAGCACTATTAAATGTGGTACCAGGTAAACAAAGACAGCAATTTCATTATTGGGGTATTATGTCATGGAATAGACAGTGAAATTAACAGTTTGCCTCGCCAATATCAATATATTAGAACGAGCCTTTCTTCCAATTGTGTAACGAGGTCTACAGGGTAGGGAAAAGCTTACATAATGGCGGTTGGTCGCTTGGCCCGTGCACTCTGCCCTGCAGCCGCCTACCTAGTGGAACAACGAGCGACGCGATCGAGAAAAAGGTCCCGGTTCGCGCGACTCCATCAAGCATTGAACGTTGAAGCCATCACGACAGACAGAAAACTCCACATATCTCGACACCTTTAGCTCACATCGATATTGCTATTATCATCGGGTAAATTTCGCCATCTGAATCACTTGTATCAGTTCCAGCATCCGGCGAAGAGACCCTTCGCGTGTTGGCGTAGCTCCTTTCCCGCAGCATGAGATGACCATCGAAAACTCATAGCACACACAATGGAACGATCAAAGCCCCAGGCTTTCTTGACGAGCTACGCGCCGCGACTGCGCGCCTACAACAACTCTCTACTCACGCCCGTTCTACCAAGCAGCGCGCCCGCCGGACCGGCTTCGAGAACCACAAAGCGAGGGACGACGATCATAAATTATGCTGAAGATGGTTATGATGATCTGGAAGATGATAGCGACGATCCCAGAAGACGACCGACGGGATTGAGGAGCTTGCGAAAGGAGGACTCGGTCAGCAGACAAGATCTTGCCGACAAGATTGGCAAAGACACCAAAGAGCCTGTCGAGGTGCAGGGCGTCTGGCGCGATTGGATCGCCAAACACAGACTGCTGAGGAGCGACCAGCAGAATGCCGTTCAAGCAACATTGCCTCTCACCCTGATTCCGATCCGAATTGATGTGGACGTTCCCGCATTCATCCCACCAGCTCCATATCCCATGCCGCATAATCCGAGTACAGTGGACACCTCACTTCCTCAGTATCGCCAACAGGAGGCCACAGTGCCGTATAAGCTTCGGGACATCTTTTGCTGGAATCTGCACGAGACCCTTATCTCCACCGATCAGTTCGCCCAAACTCTAGTGCAAGACCTCGATCTGCCTAACCGGCAGGCAGTCATTGCTGATATCAGCAAGCAAATCCGGACGCAGCTTGAAGAGTACTCAGGCGTTGCCCTTCACCCACTATTTCATAGTGACCCGCAGGCCATCTCTGTTCCACAGCCCACGACTGCTGCACTGACGCAGCGGCCAAGCTTCGCGCTGAAGTCTCGGGATGAGTCTCCCGTCTCCGCCATCCGAGGGGCGTCCCGGCCTGACACTCCGGCGCAGACTGGAGGCGCGGCCACTCCTTCGCAATCCCAGGTTCCGGATGTCACCGCAGAGGCAACGCCGATTCTTCCTGAGTCTGACGACTACAACCCTGACGATACCTATCGATGCATCATTAACTTGAACCTTAATCTGGCATCAATGCTCTACACTGATAAGTTTGAATGGTCACTATTGCATCCGCCTGGAACCGCCGAAGCGTTCGCCAAGGTCACTTGTACGGATCTTGGACTGACAGGAGAGTGGATCCCGGCAATGACGCATGCAATCTACGAAGCGGTTCTGCGGCTGAAAAAGGAAGCCTGCGAGGCTGGCGGCCTCGTTGCTGGATGGGGCGGAATGCAGCAGGAATTACCAAACGATGCTGCCCATGGCTCTGAGGCTGGCTGGAGGTACGACCCGGAGCACCTCGGAGACGACTGGGAGCCGAAAGTAGAATTCCTTAGCAAGGAAGAGATTGAGAAGCGAGAAGGCGACCGAGAACGTGAAGTTCGTCGATTACGCCGTGAGACGGCGCGGTTCAGCTCTACAACAGGCATGCTCGGAGGTACGCCCTTTGGTGCGCCGATGGAAGTCGAGGAGGAGAGAATGGGGCGAGGCGAACGGTCCAAAAAGAAGCGGCGTTTCCGAAGCTTGAGTCCGCTTGGCCGAGGTGGTACACCGGGAGGGCGAGGGACACCAGACGTTGGGGGATATGGAGGTGGCGGAGCCTTGACAGACCAAGAGAGATATCAATGGAGGTGCATGCACTGCAGGATATGGGGCACAAGCGTCTGGGCTGTGAGAGATGGACCAGCAGGTCCAAGAGTAAGTTTGAAGCTTGGCGGCTCCGTTTTCATTGCTAACGTTGCTCAGACTTTATGTGCCAACTGTGGTTATCTCTACGAGCGTGACCAGAGACTGCCTCGTCAAAGTAAAAACATCCACATATCAGATGTCCGTGGATAGACATCCTACTAGTCTGGTTTTGACAAGCAGAAGATATCTGGCTGCACTCGGTTTCTCCTGCAAAACCGCACAAGAAAGCAAGAGAGCCTGGCCAACATCATGCGATGCTTCGGTTCTGAACATGGAGGCAATTGAGCAGCATCCACGTGTTTTCATGGGCAGTGGCGAGTAGTACTGGCCACACGTCACCCTGACAGCCAGTGATGGTGGTGTTTGTTTTTGCGAGCAAAAGCTTTTTGGAGGTGGAAATTGTAAGGGATGATTATACGGCGTCTCGGGAGGATTAGGGTTCCTCATGTGGATGATGCTTTTTCCCTATCTTTGAAACGTTGGTAATTGCGGGCAGGTCATGAGATGCAGTATTGCGCAGTACGCATCGTCATCATTGTAGATTATATTGATGCCCGGTGGTTTACAAAGGGGTGTTTATGATGCGACCATTGGCACTCTAGCATCTTGAATTATAGATGGGTTGAGCTTAACTCAGAATTATGCTTGTATGAAGAGCAGCGCAGTGTGAGGTGGTTTATTACCTGTAGATATGATTATCGCCTGGTAGTCTACTGAGGTAGACATGTGCAGGTACCTACCTTAGATTATTGAGATGCGGTCATCACGTGTGCCAGCTTGACCAGACCTTCCCCCATATTTCCTAAACCTGACCACAACAACCTCATTCTATCCTCGACATGGCCCCGTCAGGCAAAATACGTAACTTGAACAGAGCATCATGCGCACTGTCCACATATGCAAGTCACCTCTGGACCCTTGCTATTGCATAGCATTACATTGGCTGTCGAGCCACCCGGACCACGCTTTGGGGTAATCCGGAGGAACCTCCTCCACGATCCAATCCGTCCACTCTAATGCACCACATCACAGCCTAGGGAACGATTAACTTACACCCCGCACTTCTGAAATGGGCTATTCTGTATCTTCCGAAACAGTGGATATCACGTTCCACTGGGGTACTGGACGACTTGGAGCGCCCCCAAAGGCGGTTCGAGCCGAGAAGATGCTGCCGATTCATGCAGGGTTGATGACTTTGATACCCCTCGTTAGCCGTCTTCCGTGTCTGGAAAAGGCATTCCGTTCGAGAGCCTCGGCAGCCTGAGGAGTCTGTGTTCTAGTTGCAAGTGCTTCGAAATTTGAAGAACAGAAGGTAACACCTCTCAGAATTGAGGCGGCGAACAACCAAATAACAGCTTGGACAGGGCTCATGAACAAAGTGCAATCAGTCAAGGCCTGGCGGAACAATTTAATCACCGTAACAATTGTGTCGATTGTGCGCTGCACATTCACCAGCCATCACATGAGACTACCAGTCGCAGACAAGACCTGGTTGCCTGCATGCTCGCCTGGCATGGTCTTTACACATGGCTGGCAGGAGAACCCTGGCCTATAGTCAACAATATGCCGGGGTTATAGCCACTATCTCGGTCATGATGTATCCGAAACTGCTGGATTTGGACGAGAAAGCTCTCCAAACCCTTACCTCCATGCGTTATGTCAGGGGTTTAACTTCTGCCACCTCCGCATTGCCCGGCAGCTGACCAACAACAGCTGTTTTTCGAGATGGGCATGGGCGCACAACGAACACATGAACAAACTAAATTTTGACGGAAATTCTCTTCCACGATACCTGCAGTTGCCGCCTTGAGACTTCTTTTAAGCGGACGGACTGAATCCCGAAGTACCGCGAGATCCCCTTTTCCAGGACAACTCATTTAGGTCCCACGGCTGTAATTGTTCCACCACCAAGAGCATCTGAGCTATGAATTGAGAAGTCAAATATACACCAATGTTTCGAGTTCCGGTTTACAGATGGGAAAAGGAACACCAGCGCTACCAAAGACGGATCAGCTGGAAACGGATGCTTGTCAGGTAGTGTGATGTAATGGTGCCCTTCACCTCTCTGAACAGATCAGTATGCATAAATCGTCTCCAAAAGGATATATGATCTTTACCGGAGCTACGGCCCATGAAAGTGATGTCTACTGAGGAGCATTGTGCCCGTGGTGTAAGGCATCCGTGGATCTCGAAAGCAGGCTTCTCCATACTGACACCAGACGAAGATGTGAAAGCGCCGCGTAATTGGTAAACACCATGCTTGAATAGTGGCAAAGGGGCCAAAGCTTTGGGTTCTTGAGAGAACCAACAGGTTGTGGGGTCAGCCTCCTCACTTGAAGTACGGCTAAGTAGAATCAACCCTGGGCGGAGATCCATCTGGTTAAGATGGCAGGGTGACTGAAAGGTGACCGTTCACTCCTAGTTGCCTTTCCGGGACTGGTAGCTAGACTACCTCACGATCACTCTATGGATTATATCAC